AAATAACAATACAGACATAGCATCAGGAACATCTACATCAGACACAGACAAAGGGACTGGCGGGAGCAAGGAAGCTATACTGTATGCAAAGGTCCTGTCAGCCCACACTGGGCCAAGACAAGGACAGGGAGCACACTAGGATCAAAAGAGAGGTCAGAAGACATTGAAGGAGCTAGGACATATGCAGGGACTCTACCAGACACTTGTAGGGGCCAGGAACAGATGAGCAGGAAAGACAGACCAATGAGCATAGGGGCCTCAGGTAGGGAAGGGATTGAAGGAAGGAACGCTCCAAGGGAAGGAACTACAACACCTCAGAGGACGCAATGGGAGACACAGTGCAAGGAAGAAAGGGAGAGATCAGTTTTTGTCTATGGGCTCCAGGAAGCCGAAGGGGAAACCTATGATGAAAGAAAACAGGAGAAAAAAGCGATTGAAGGTATCATGAAGGTGATAGGCGAGGGCGACATGACCCAGGTGACAAATTTTCGGAGAACTGGGTGGTTCGCAAGGAGAAGGAAATGGCCTCTCAAAGTAATTTTCAAGGCAGAATCAACTTGAACCATGATCCTGCAGGAGAAAGCATGGCTGAGAGAGAAACTGGAGTTCCAGAGTGTGTACCTCGATCAAGACAGAACACAAGAGGACACAATGATACTGAAAGAGAGAGTGCAAAAATGAGAGGAGGAATGGGAGGAAATGACAATGAAAAGCAGAATAACCCAGGCACAGGTGGAAGGGTAAACACCCCCCCCCCCAGAAACACCTGCAGAAGGACTCCAACCATGACAACCCCAAGGCAACTGAACAATCTAAACCAACAATCGCACACCGATCCCTCTGTCCCTACCCCCATACCACGAACCCTACCCCTACAGCAGCCCCCCATGGGAACTCTGCCCCACCCCACTGCAACCCTCCATAGGCCCCTGCCAGGGCTCCTGCTCTCCCAACCCCAATATTTCCCCAGGACCACAGTTTCAGAACAGAAGTTGAAGGTTTGGTACATGAATGCGGATGGATTAACGAATAAATATGAGTGGCATGAAAGAATCAATGAGAAGTCCCCAGACATCATAGCAGTTACAGAAACAAAACTCACTGAGACAATAACAGATGCAATCTTCCCATCAGGATATCAGATCATGAGGAAAGATAGAAGGGGCAGAGGGGGAGGAGGGGTTGCACTGCTCATAAAAAAACGATGTAAATTCGAGAAAATGGGAGGCATGGACGAGTTTGGAGAAAGGGACTACATAGTAGGTACACTTCAGTCTGGGGAGGACAAAGTAGTCATTGCAGTGATGTATAATCTGCCACAGAACTGCAGGAGGCCAAGAGAGGAATATGAAGAGAGCAACAGAGCAATGGTGGACACACTGGCTGAGGTGGCAAGAAGAGCTCACTCGAGCAGAGTAAAGTTACTTACTGGTTATGGGCGATTTCAACCACAGGGAGATTGATTGGGAAAACCTGGAGCCACACGGGGGTCCCGAAACATGGAGAGCCTATATGAGGGATGTGGTACTGGAAAACCTCATGCATCAACATGTTAAGGACACTACCAGAGTGAGAGGGGAGGACGAACCAGCAAGACTGGACCTTGTGTTCACCCTGGGCAGTTCAGACATTGAGGACATCATATACGAGAGGCCCCTAGGAGCTAGTGACCACATGGTTCTGTGCTTTGAATACATAGTAGAGTTACAAGTGGACAGGGTAACAGGAGTTGAATGGGAAAAACCAGACTATAAAAGAGGGGACTACACAGGTTTGAGGAACTTCCTGCAGGAGGTTCAGTGGGACAGAGAACTGGTAGGAAAGTCAGTAAACGAAATGATGGAATATGTAACAACAAAATGCAAGGAGGCAGAGGAAAGGTGTGTTCCCAAGGGCAACAGAAATAATGGGAAGACCAGAACGAGCCCCTGGTTTACCCAACGGTGTAAGGAGGCAAAACTAAGTGAAATAGAGAATGGAAAAAGTACAGAAGGCATAGAACACATGAAAATAGGGAGATCAATTGCAGAGCCAGGAACGAGTATGCACAGGTGAGGAGGGAGGCCCAGCGACAGTATGAAAATAACATAGCATCGAAAGTCAAGTCTGACCCAAAACTGTTGTATAGCCACATCAGGAGGAAGACAACAGTCAAAGACCAGGTGATCAGGCTGAGGAGAGAAGGTGGGGAACTCACAAGAAACGATCAGGAGGTATGCGAGGAGCTAAACAGGATATTTAAGGAAGGGCTCTGGGAAGACAGTACAGAGGGGAACATCAACAGGGAATAAACCAACAAGTGTTGGATGACATACGAACAACGGAGGAGGAGGTGCAGAAGCTGCTAAGTGACCTTGATACCTCATAGGCGATGGAACCGGACAACACCTCCCCATGGGTCCTTAGAGGAGCAGAGACGCTGTGCATGCCACTAACCACAATCTTCAATACATCCCTTGAAACTGGGCAACTACCCGAGATATGGAAGACGGCAAATGTAGCCCCCATTTTAAAGAAAGAAAGACAGAAACGAGGCACTAAACTACAGACCAGTGTCTCTAACGTGTATAGTATGCAAAGTCATGGAGAAGATTATCAGGAGAAGAGTGGTGGAGCACCTGGAACGGAACAAGATTATAAATGACAACCAGCATGGATTCATGGAAGGCAAATCCTGTGTCACAAACCTTCTGGAGTTTTATGACAAGGTAACAGAAGTAAGACACGAGAGAGAGGGGTGGGTGATTGCATTTTCCTAGACTGCAGGAAGGCCTTCGACACAGTTCCTCACAAGAGATTAGTGCAGAAGCTGGAGGATCAGGCGCGTATAACAGGGAGGCACTGCAATGGATCAGAGAATACCTGACAGGGAGGCAACAATGAGTCATGGTACATGAAGGGGTATTACAGTGGGCGCCTGTGACGAGCGGGGTCCCACAGGGGTCAGTTCTAGGACCAGTGCTATTTTTGACATATGTGAATAACATGATGGAAGGGATAGACTCTGAAATGTCCCTGTTCGCAGAGGATGTGAAGTTGATGAGAAGAATTAAATTGGATGAGGATTAGGCAGGACTACAAAGACACCTGGACAGACTGGACACGTGGTCCAGAAACTGGCTTCTCGAATTCAACCCTGCCAAATGCAAAGTCATGAAGACTGGGGAAGAACAAAGAAGACTGCAGACAGAGTATAGGCTAGGTGGACAAAGACTGCAAACCTCACTCAAGGAGAAAGATCTTGGGGTGACCATAACACCGAGCACGTCTCCAGAGGCACACATCAACCAGAATAGCGTTCTGATAGCTTAATAAGGAATCGTTCAAGATACTGTACACTGTGTATGTTAGGACCATACTGGAGTATGCCGCACCGTCTGGAACCCACACCTGGTCAAGTACGTCAAGAAGTTAAAGAAAGTACAAAGGTTTGCAACAAGGCTAGTTCCAGAGCTCAGGGAAATGTCCTACGATGAAAGGTTGAGGGAAATCGGACTGACGACACTGGAGGACAGAAGGGTCAGGGGAGACATGAAAACGACATACAAGATACTGCGTGGAATAGATAAGGTGGACAGAGACAGGACGCTCCAGAGGGAAGACAGAAACAAGGGATCACAGTTGGAAGCTGAGGACTCAGACGAGTCACAGGGATGTTAGGAAGTATTTCTTCAGTCACAGAGTTGTCAGGAAGTGGAATAGCCTAGCAAGTGACATAGCGGAGGCAGGAACCATACATAGCTTTAAGACGAGGTATGACAAAGCTCAGAAAGCAGAGAGGACCTAGTAGCGATCAGTGAAGAGGCGGGGCCAGGAGCTGAGTCTCGACCCCTGCAACCACAATTAAGTGAGTACAATTAGGTGAGTACAGCCTAGTTGAACTTGTAATCAGTCATATCCCACCGACAACAACATTCCTACCCCTTTCAGAGCGCAGCCACTGTTATTTTTACCTTCAAGACTCCAGTCTGCCTGCCTTGTTTCCCTGAATCTCTTCATAAAAGCTACTCTGCTCTCAATCATAATAGCAGATCCATTAAAAAGCTACTGGTATCCATTTACTCCTGTCTAAAATGCTCACACAAGCCTGTTAGATGCTCAAGTATCTAAAAGTTAAAAGCCTTTTGTACCTCCTCCCTCCAATCATTCCTGGAATGAAATCCTTTCCCTTCTATACATCATCATTTGAAACTTATCCCTGTCCATTCTGTACATGCCCAAACCACCTCAGCTCTCTGAATTATATACCCTTGCTTCTGTTCTGTTGTAGATTCGCCAGGACCTGCCTGGGCCTTTTCCCTGTCGAAGTATCTCAGACCAATGTCTGCCATGAGAGGAGGTACAAGTACCTCCTTGTCTTCTGAGACCAGCTGTTTCCAGGCTTAGCCCCATTCCCCACCCCCACAGGGCTCAGAGGGAGAAATTAGGCACCTTGGGCTGCCACAAATCATACAGTGCCATAAAACTGGGATTAAATCATTTTCGAGGTAGATACATTTATTTGGACCAAAGGTCTAATATTTAAAAAAAAAAAAATACTAACACTGTCTGCAGATTCTAGTTGTGTTCTCTTGTCCAGGGTTGTTGGGCATTGAGAAGCAATAGCAGTTAGTGTAATCTTGTAACCGTCGATAACAGTTAATGTTTGAATAATGTTTATACTTTGGATCAGGCCATGAGGCCTGGTCTCAGACCGGGCCGCGGGGGGCGTTGACCCCTGAACCCCCCTCCAGGTATACCTATTATGACGGTGGGTGGCGTCGGGGCTGAATAAACAAACGTGGGTCACATCGGCCTTTGATTCCCCCTTCAACCACAACAATGGCCCTTTGAATTAAAATGATTTCTCCTTGCACTAACAATTACAATTCATATTAGTACATCATAATCGTCTCTCCCTTGTGTGCGCGAGCGCAAGCGCGCTTTCGCATCCGGGACCACTGACGGAAGCAAGAATGACACATGATAAAGCTTACCCCATTGTGCTATCCAAGCGGGCGTCCCACATCCTGTATCAAGACTACCTCCCACAAGTTACAGCCACCCTGTGCCTCTCTCGGTTGTGAGCGCCACTGCATCAATGTGTGTTTCGAAACTCCTGTCCAGCGCCCCCTGTTCTGTGTGACCAAGACTTTGAAACGATCATGTACAACACTGGACAAACAACGTAAACAACAATGTTAATAAGACGAAAAGTCATAGGTTACAGTGAATGTCTACTGGAAATAATTTAGTGAATATTTGTTATTCTCAAACACAAAATTCAGTGAAAAAGATGTACGAAATAAACAAAATGTAATTGTTCAACTGAAGAAAAAGTAAATTTCGGATATCTAAAAGTCACACGTCTTTATTAAAAATGCAACATGAGAAATATATACAGATTGAACTGTTAGTGCTTAATAGGTATTAAATTAATTAATCTGGAAAGCAATTCGTTTAAATACTAGAATTAGAGAAGACATCGTGCGAGGATGCATGTCTGACACCTGTTATTGTAGAGACAAGTGAACCTGCTGCTGCCTTTCTGCAAAGCACCTCCGGAGATCAACAACATCCCTTCCATTCTATGGCGAGTATGTGAATATCATCTTAAGAGCCGTCAAAAAAAAAAAAAATCCTCTCATTCTAAGGTGATTATCGTAAGGCAAGTCATCATCACATCACAGCCAGGGCAACACCAGACAATATGGACGACTTTGAGGACAATTTCATTGATACAGACAATGTGTGTGTGCCAGTCAGGTCTGGTACTTGTGACGAGAATGCTGGTAGAAAAGATGACAGAATTAGAGTTTGTGGTGATGAGGGAAAGGAGGTCAAAAGGGAGGATAAGGATTTAGTCTGCAGTGAGAAACTAACAGGCGGAATCATCAGTAAGGACATGGAAGAAGGCAAGAGGAAGAAGGATGAGATCAGAAGGAAAGGAATGGAGGAGGAGGTTAGAAGGGAAGAGAAAAATATAAAGGATGAGGAAGGAAAAGGGACTAGCAGAAAGAAAGAGAAAAAAGGTAATCTGATAGAGTACGGACTTAAGGAACCAGTGAAAGAGGATGATAACAAGGCAGAAAAGGTGGAACATTGCATCTTGATTGGTGCAGATGGCGATGGAGGAGATCACATTCTTCCTGGCACTAATGATGATGGTAAAGAAGAATTGCATGATGACCAGAACGGAGGATCTAATTACGTGCCCAGCCAAGCTGTTGTGATCAACGTAACCCACAGAGGGGCAGGTACAGGTACGAACCAGGTACTTATATAAAACTAGTCATGGATATGTATCCTAACCGTATGTGTATGAATGCTAATCAGATGAATGTTTACAGATAGGTAGGAGTTATGGTCTCCAACATTCCATTAAGGAGTTTCGATTACAGTGGCCCGTGGCCTGGTGGCAGAGGTTCTCGCTTCATACGCTGAGTGTCCGGGTTCGATTCCCGGCAAGGGTAAAAACATTGGGCGTGTTTCCTTACACCAGTTGTCCATGTTCACCCATCAGTAAAAATGGATTCCTGGGTGTTGGTCGACTGGTGTGAGTCGCATCCCGGGGCAAAATTGACCTAATTTACCCGAAATGCTCTACATAACAAGCGACTTTCTACATAGTAGTACGTCACCGATATCAGCTAGGCCTGTATATCATGTACATGTACTTGTATAATTAAATATATTATTAGCACGGGTTTATTGGTTCATGAAATACAAGTGTTGTTTTGGTCGAGGTCATGGTGAAAGAGAAGACCAAGAGGAGTAAAGGTCAATTCTGGCAGGTGAAAATTAGTATTATATTTAGGGGAAGAGCTAAATATGTAGGGGTCCAAGGAATGGGAGGACTAATCCAACTCTATGGATCCAGAGACCTTCATCAACATCAAGGAATCTCTATCGAGGGGACACTTAAAAAATTAAATACCAACAGCATCGAGGACATGGTATGGCGATACCGACAAGATGTGGAAAAAGATACTTATGTACAGTTCAGGACATTTATTAAAGGAAACGTTTCGTCACGAGTGACTTCTTCAGGACTGAAGAAGCCACTCGTGGCGAAACGTTTCCTTTAATAAATGTCCTGAACTGTACATAAGTGTCTTTTTCCACACCAACAGCATTGCCTGAAAAAATATATTTGATATCCGTCGTTGCAGACGACTCCAGCTGCACCACACAGACCACAGACGACGACACAGACACCAACTCCGACTCCGACCTGTCGAGCGTGTCGACCCGAGCAGCTCGCATGTTGCCAGACTCAGAGGATGGTTTCGACATGGTGCGGACTCTACGACATTACCGACGCCGCCGCCGCCGCTCCTCCGACAGCAGCACCACAGACTCCAACTGCTCATGCAAGTCTTGCGTCTCAAGGACTAACTGGTCATTCTTCAGCACCGAGGAGGGACCACCTGGGGGTGAAGGCACCATCTACCGAAGAGCTGCCATCTGGCTAGAGAGCATCAAGTATTTGTACGTATCTGTAGTGTCTATCCGCGTATACATTCAACCTCTCTTCTATCTATACAATTTTATTCACTGGTCATTCTCGTATTTTTTCCTGGCATCTCTTGTTTCACAATGTTCGTAAGCTACTGTACATCACTTATTAATATTCGTCATCAGCACCATACTTCACCAGATTAACTTGACTCACGAAATCATAATGACACGATTAATTATAATTCATGAAAAACTTGAAATTGTATTCTGCACTAAGACAGCCTTTACTAGGCTGATCCCAGGAAAACCCGGCAGTTGTTATTATAAACAACATGCGCTAAAACTGTATGGGTCATTCATCTGGTGGCAACCTAAACGAAAACAAAAATCTCGGTGTAATGCCAGTGTAATACCAGAGGCATGTACTAGCAAGTTACACTTTTTAAGGTCAGACCACCAATATCCTGGATGAACCCACAGGGATTTAGTGCTTGATAAAATACAACAATAAAGGGTAGCAAATTACCCGGCACTGTAACGGTTTAATCAGGGACAATCCAGAGGATTTAGCTAAGTGTCTAGGTGAAATAAATTGTTGTAGCTCTTCCGCCCTCCCTTTCCCTTCCCCTCCCTTCATCTCTTTCATTGAAAGTGATAGATGACCAGGAAAGCCCGGTGGCCTGGTGGCTAAAGCTCCCGCTTCACACACGGAGGGCCCGGGTTCAATTCCCGGCGGGTAGAAACATTTCGACACGTTTCCTTACACCTGTTGTCCTGTTCACCTAGCAGCAAATAGGTACCTGGGTGTTAGTCGACTTGTGTGGGTCGCATCCTGGTGGACAAGATTAAGGACCCCAATGGAAATAAGTTACAGTCCTCGATGACGCACTGACTTTCTTGGGTTATCCTGGGTGGCTAACCCTCCGGGGTTAAAAATCCGAACGAAATCTTATCTATCTTTCTTCTTTTCTCCCTTCTCTCACTCCTACCCGGCTCCTCCTCCATCTCTTTCACTCTCCACGTATTACTGAAGGTCAACCTTGAGCCATTCTTAACCTTTTCCGACTCTTCAAAGGTATGCTTTGATGTTGGTGGAGAGCTCTTAATCCAAGGAACTGGATCTATCCTTCTCTTCTTCGGATCAAACCTGGTTACTCCTTATTCCTCAGGCTTTCTATGCAATCTTTAACACGGAAGGTGGTGAACTTGATCATTGATAACAAGTGACGCCTCTAGCAAGAGGGACCCTGATAATATACATCCTATTCCTGTTACCATCTTGCCTCTGATCTGAGACTTCAGTATAATATATACACCTTTATTATAGTGGGCCTGAAACATCATACATAGGTATACCTTGCATACCTTCATATCTCTCTGCATCGGAAATTTCGAAAACTAGTATAGACCAGCCGGGCTGTGGCTCGTACGTTGGTTTGCGTGCAGCCAGCAGTAACAGCCTGGTTGATCAGGCTCTGATCCATCAGGAGGCCTGGTCACAGACCGGGCCGCGGGGGCGTTGACCCCCGGAACTCTCTCCAGGTAAACTCCAGATTACGTAACCTTTAACACATGTCAACATGTTGGATGTAACGATGCACGAACTTGTATAGAGAAATGTATGTGACAGACTCGAACAATCTCAGTTATGCTATCGAATATCGTTCAAGCATCTCAGTTCATAGGTTCAGTCCAAGGAATGTTAGAATAGCTTTATACTCTCAATCAAGAGCCCTTCACTGGCATCAACAATTCCATAATGAACGCCGCATTCTATCCCCAGGTGGGGCATACTGATCTACGGACTGCTGGCCATGACCGTGATATTCACGGGATCGGCGCTGTGGGCCATGAAACAAGGAGACAAGGTCGGATACAGGATATTCCCATACACGTGAGTATACTGCTTCTGGCATGGTAAGTAACGGAAGTTATGGTAGACAACGAGGATGGTGGTAGATCACGGAATAATGGTAGATTGCCGAGAATTGTTGAAGTACTGCATTTTATGTATTATTAACACATACCTGGCGATATCTTCTACCACTGTTATACAAAACGGACTATAGTAGATTATAAGATCATGGTAAATGTGATAAATGGTTTAAAACCAACAAGTTGAAGATTGAGACACTTATACATTATTATAATCCAAGGGGAAGCGCGAAACCCATAGGATTTTACAGGACACTTATACAACATATGAGAATTTTTATTGAAGAAACGTTTCGCCACACAGTGGCTTCATCAGTCCAATACAAATCAGAAAGGCGTAAGGAGAGGAGTAGTTTGAGGTAATCAGTCCCTCAGCCTGGAGTCGATGTGCTCAGTCCATCAGTCATGTAGAAAGTACACCTTAGGAACGAACGAACAAGTGCAAGTAAGGTCCCAAATGGGATGAGCGGGGAAGACAGGACAGACGAAGAATAGCTCTGGAGAGGAGTGTTCTTAATAATTTCCAGTAGATCCTTCATGTGTTAGCCCAAATCACCGACCAGTATGTTTTAAATAAGCAACCCACTGATCAGATCAGATCGACTGGTCCGAACCCTTGACTGGTCCGAACCCTTGACTGGTCCGAACCCTTGACTGGTCCGAACCCTTGACTGGACCGAACCCTTGACTGGACCGAACCCTTGACTGGTTTCAAACGGTTTCGTTGGACAATAAAGCAGACAGTAACGGATGGGGTTGTAGGCGCCCTTATAAACACAAACATTAAATATATATCAGGAACGTGCACGGTAAGCCGTCCAATATACAAAAACAGTTAGAAACAGAAATACAAATAGCTAGAGCTTCATTTAAGGAGGTTATTAATAGAATATTCAAGAGGTTGCTAGTAGAATTGAGTAAATCAACCATTCAAATCATTATGAAACTGTGTGTAGTCTGTGGTCAGTCAAACAAACGGGCTTCCACATGGATAAATTGTCATTTTTGTGGAAATTGGTGTCACGCCCCTTGTGCAGATATCCAAGAACTAGCTACAAGCAGTATTAAAACAGGGAAATGTTTTTAGGTATGCCCAAATGAGATAAATCTGTGGACTAAAATCACAAGGGTATTAAAAGAGGACAACATCAAAGCTGCTTTCATAGAAAACCTGGAAGCTTTCTACAACAGATGGGAACATAAAAAGTCTGGGCTGAATGGTACTGCCCTTGATATTGGCCATGTAGTCAGAAACTGTAAGGCTGGAGATGAAGTCCTGGTAGTCAGTAAATGTGGGGCTGATGTGCGTTGGGAGACAGTAATGGTAAAAGCTGGAGGTGATGTCCTGGGAGACAGTAATGGTGAGCGGGAAAGGTGCTGTCCTGGGAGAATTTAATGGTGAAGTGGGGGTTTGCTGTCCCTGGGAGACAGTAATGGTGAACGGGGGTTGTCCTGGGAGAAGTATGGTGAAGTGGAGATGCTGTTGGGAGACAGTAATGGTGAAGCTGGAGATTTTGTCCAGGTAGTGGGGAATTTATGCGGAAGGATACATATAAAGACCTCATAGGGGACAGGAGCCATTAGGGAACAAGTGTAGTCAAAGTAAGATAAAAAATTTGAAACTAGAAATCGCGGAATAGCAAAAAAGAGGACTCATTTGCAATAGTGAGGATAAATTACCAAAAAAAAACTGGTGGGAGCTCATTGTTGGTGGGGAAAATAGAGTAAGACAGGGAAACATGCCCAACAGGGATACGTCACGAGCCCAAGGCAACGGAAACCAAGCCTGTGAAACATATATTGGTATCTGCTGGCATGGGAAATCGGGGAAAACAGATGGGCGTGCAACTAGACCAACCTAGAAAAGGGCCATGCCATATGCAACAGGAAAATGCAAATCCTTCCTGTAAGCTGTTTCACCCTGAACTGTGTCCCCTCTTCAGTACAGGGAAAGGATGTGCTAAACTTAAATGCAGGATACATCTTAAAGGGGACAAAAAGATACCAAAACATCCAGGCCATGGGAAAACCTGGGTGCCACAACCATCAAGAGGGAGAGGTTTTTTAGTGCAGAAAGGGGAAAAAAAACATGGCAGGAAAGGGCAAAAAAATCGTTACACCAAATCCATCATTCCTGGAGTGGACCCAGTCGAGCCTCACTCCAACCAACGATACAAATACTAATGCCGGAAAAAAATTCCCCCATTTCCCAACAATACCACCAGTCCGAAAAACTTTCTTCTTTGCACGACTCAAGAAATGTAAATGACACGTTGCAAAAAAACCCTTACCCCGGGCCCGGTTTGAAACGCGGTCATAGAGTCTCAAAACTCCGGGCCGTGCGTTAGCCACTAGACCAGTAGCAAAATAGATTATCCAACTAGGTATATTTCTACACCATGGGAAAAAGTTTGCACAGGCCTCTGTGCCCACAAATGCAAGTTTTTACAGGAGGGAATCTCCAGCTGCGTGGCAGTGAACGAACTCTAGCTAAGCCCCTTTCCCACTGCCTAACATGACTAAAGAATGGAAATTTGACACGTTGCAAAATAAACCTTACCCCCCCGGATTGAACCCCGGCCCATAAAAGTCTCATTGTGGTCACAGAGGTGCCTGTGAAAACTTTCCTATGGTGTAGAAATATACCTAGTTGGTGAATCTTATTGTGGCTAGCTGGTCTAGTGGCTACGCGACGGGCTGGAGTTTTGAGACTCTATGACCGCGGGTTCAATCCCGGCCGGGGGTTTGGTTTATTTGCATCGTGTCATTACGATTTCTTGAGTCATGTTGACGGCAGTGAAGGGACTTGAGCTAGAGTTCGTCACGGCCACGCTAGCTGGAGATTCGTCTGTAAAAACTTGCATTTGTGGTCACAGAGGTGCCTGTGCTAACTTTCCTATGGTGTAGAAATATACCTAGTTGGATGAATCTTATTGTGGCTAGCTGGTCTAGTGGCTAACGCGACGGGCTGGAGTTTTGAGACTCTATGACCGCGGGTTCAATCCCGGCCGGGGGTATGGTTTCTTCTTTGCAAATATACAGGGTCTAAAGCCAGCAACAAACAACAAAATACCTTTCATCCGTGGACTGCTTGCAGAGGCAAAGGCAATGTTCGCGGCTTTCACTGAGACCCACATAAAGGATCACTTGGAAAAGAAATATGGATCCCAGGTTACAACCTATACAGATGTGACAGAGTGAGCAGGCAAAAGGGGGGGGGTTGGCCTGTACATTGCAGAGTCACTTGTTTGCACAGAACTGCTTAATGCCTCAAATGATGTAGTGGAAGTTTTAGCAGTAAAGGTCGAGAACCAAAACCTAGTCATTGTGGTAGTCTACAAGCCTCCGGATGCAACATCCAGCAATTCCAGGAACAGCTGTTAAAAATTGATCTACTGTCTGGAAAACCTTCCAGCTCCTGCACCCAACATCTTGCTCCTGGGGGATTTCAACTTAAGGCACCTAAAATGGAGGAATATAGCAAATAATATTGTTGCAGAAATAACCCAGGAGGCAGCTCTGATGAAAACTCACACTCACGCGAGCTTTTAAATCTCTGCACAAAATTCAATTTAAACCAGCAAATAATAGAGCCTACTAGATGGAGAATACATAGACCTCATCTTCACTAAAAATAGATCTGAAAGAATACACCATATAAAAAAACAAATACTCAGTCCAACAAAATTGGGTTCAGTCATGTATGCGCGGAGCCCCAACCGACTGGGGAATTAGCACGAGGGGCATTCCCCAAAATTCAATTTCAATAAAAAAAAACAAAAGTGGACCAAGAAAACAAGCCCTAACCATATAAGCTGGGAAGTATACTAAGAACACAGACCCCAACTTATGCCTAGAACAGATTAACTCGGTTGACTCGTGTATGACAAGGTTTCCTCTAAGAAAAAGGGGGAGTAGATGAAAATAGAAGAGACAGGTCTCCCTTTACGGGCGGGGGAAAAAAAGAAAAACAGAGCGCAAAAGAGGTCAATATATCTAAAAAGCGTGGGAGCCCGGGGCAGAGAAATAGCAAGCATCGAACTTAAGCTAAAAAAATCCTTTGGGGAGTCGGGAATCGGGGGAAAAACAAAAAAGCCATAAAGAATCGAAAGAAACCCAAAGTATTTTTCCTATGCCAAATCAAAATGGGAAAACAACGTCCAGTTTTGGGCCCTACTTAACAAGTGGGCCTACACAGATGAAACAAAGGAATGAGGAGTACTCAAATCCCCAATATGACTCAGTTTTTAGCAAGCCCCTAAAACCCGATGATAGTCGAAGATCAAAAGAATTTTTTTATGAGAGACCAAAAAATTTGATTAACACCCAAAACCCATCCGATTTTTCCTGACGCCAAAAGATTCGAACAGGATAAATGACTGCCCCCTGCACCTTTCCCCCGGGCCAGACTTGGAATCTGTGTTCATCAAGAACGCAAGAAGCCCCATCACGAGCCTTTTCCACCCTTTTGGGAGGGGGCATGGCAGGGGGCGTCCCACATTACTAAAAACAACAGACATAGCCCCCCTCCACAAAGGGGGCAGTAAAGCAACAGCAAAGAATACAGACCAAAGCACTAACTCCCTATCTAAAAAAACTTTGAAAGGGTCCCAAGAACAAGATCACCACCCATCTAGAAAACCCATCAGTTACACAACCCGGGGAACATGGTTTGAAAAGGTCGTCCTGTCTGTCTCAACTATTTTGGGTCATACGACAAAGGCCTAAATGCCAGAAGACAAAAAGAAATGCAGATTTAATATAACGACTTTCAAAACCCTTCGAAAATTGACTGGCGTAATACGCAAAAAATGGTTTAAAGGAAAAACAGGAAAAGTCGTCGATGGTCTAAAATTTCCTCAAACAAAAACACAGAGAGTACGTCACAGAGTAAAGCCCGAGGCAGCTAGGGGTTGAAAAGCTTGTTCCAAAGGCACAGTACCGTCCCATTTTGTTCCC